GTATACAGGAGAAAATGTGTATGTTCAGTCGCTTCCATTGTTTAAGTTCTAATAATGCACAAGGTTTACGAGAAAGCTCTATTGATATGTATGGATGAGTCATTACTAATTTGTTAGATGTTTCAGAAACAATAATTTGCAATAATTTATAGGTAATTGGTCTGAGTTGCCACAAGTTAATAAATCGCCGTACAACGCATAAACAATCTAAATGCATATAGTGATCATCCTAAAACTTAATTCTGTCAATGGCAAAACACTAACGCGATGTTTCTCCTTTGACAGATTTAATTTTGTCTATCATTTATTTAGATTAACAAATTAATTAACAAATATGGACTATAAACGGTAATCAAATAGGTAAAATATTGAAATCAATAAATTCGAACTTCTTCATATAAATAATAGAAGAGTTTTTTTTTTTCAAAGTAAATTTTGTATGCAATATAAATTTATTAGACATTTTTTGTTATAAACTGTAGAGATTTACATAAATATAAATGTAGTTGTAATATATTTTTTTAAATCAACAGAGATCTTCAATATAATACATTTCTTGAATAATTTCAATTTTGTTGCATAAAAATATATAAAACTGGTACAGATATATCATTTCACGGATAAGAGATTGTATTTATGACAATAATAATAAATAAGGAGTTTTTTTCTTTATTAGAATATGTCTCATAAAAATATATTTCATTTATATTTATTATATAGAGTTTAAAAAAACAACTAAAATAAAATCTTATTTCTATGACTATTATTTTTAAAGGTCTATGCAGGGGCAAATGGGACCGCCGGAATACCGGGAAATTTCCCAGTACGTTGCCGCGCCGCCGTTTATATTGAAGGAGAAAAAAATATTTGCAATCGCAATCAAATATTTTTATTATAAAAACTTTCATTTTTATAATAAAAATAATAGTTCTAAGGATTTATAAAAATGTATTTATTTATGTTTATTATTTATTGATAAACATAAAAAACCTTCCAAATTGTTTATACATATATTATCATTTTGAAATGATTGAACAACCCGTGTTTATTTATTTATACAAACTAGTTACGCTGACGTAGTATATATTATCATAACGTTATTAATGATGAAATACGCTTTAGGGGAGAGTGTGTATGACGATATACCTATTACTCAAAATCAAGTTGGGATTCTTCCTTCCGATTCTCCCTCCGTTTCTCCCGACCTCTCGACCTCTCGACCTCCCGACCTCCCAACCTCGAGGTTTATGAAAAGGTTCATGACGTCATGAGCGTGTCATAATGATTTTTTAATTTTTTAAAATTAATTTTTTCTTTTGTTTAAAGGTAATCAAGCCCTCTCGAGGTTCATGACGAGGTTCATGAAGTCATGAGCGTGTCATAATGATTTTTTAATCTTTTAAAATTAATTTTTTCTTTTGTTTAAAGGTAATCAAGCCCTCTCGAGGTTTATGACGAGGTTCACGAAGTCATGAGCGTGTCATTTTTTAATCTTTTAAAATTAATTTTTTCTTTTGTTTAAAGGTAATCAAGCCCTCTCGAGGTTCATGACGAGGTTTATGACGTCATGAGCGTGTCATAATGATTTTTTAATCTTTTAAAATTAAATTTTTTCTTTTGTTTAAAGGTAATCAAGCGTTACAAAAGAATATATAAAAAAACATTTTTGTCAAATTAAATTGTTAAAAAATGCTAAAAGTACAAAAAATGTCAAAAGTAAAAAAAATGGAAGAGAATAAAAAAGATAAAGTTAAACGAAAATTGTTTGTAAAACCTGAAGCTGTAAGTTTATTGTTTTTTTTAAAAAAAAATGTTTTATATTTAATATTTTTTGAAGTGGTTGTGTTTTTTCTAGATTGTAAACCTTACGTTCCAGAAGAAACTTATAAAATTCCTCAAGCTTATATTCCTCAAGTGGTTGAAACAAGACCTCTTGAGAGAATTGATCAAGAAATATACGAAGATGAACTGGAAATATTTGACGATATTCCAGAAATTGATGACGGTAAATTAATATTATTTTTTATAAATATGATATATTTAAAAAAAAAATCTAATAGTTTAAAATAATTTTTTTAGAACAAGTGCGTATATTAGATAACATAATGATAAGAATAGACCGTCATTTGGAGGAAAATTATGTTAATTATTATAAGGGTAACGAAAAATTTAATTTAAAACACAAGCATGTTTACGGTTGTAATACAATATTTAATAAAATAAAATGATACAAAAAATTTTTTTTATTATTTTCCAATTTGATTGATTCCATAAGATATTCCTCCCGAAACTGCACCACCCAAAGCGGCTCTTCCTACTATAGGTAAAAGTCTTGGTAAAAGTCTTGAAGCAATTGCACCTATTGCTCCTAAAAATTTTCCACGCATTCGTTTTTTGTAACGTCTTTTTAAACGTCTTTTATGTCATTTTCCTCTTAGTCTTTTACGCATTTTAAAAATAATTTTTTTTTTGAACAGGTATTTTTTTTTTAACGTATTATAGAAGATAGTAAACTACCTCCCAACAAAGCACCTAATATCGGAAGAAATTTACCGCGTATTCGTTTCCTTCTACCGGCTCCTATTAACGGAGGTAAATAAACTCTTCCTTTTCCTCGTCTTTTATAAATTCTTTTTTTTCTACATCTACACAATCTATACATAACGTTATTTTTGCAAATAATCTAACGCTAAACCTCCTACGTTTGATCGAAGTAAACGCCTTGCAAGATTTTAACTCTAGTTATAATTTTTCCTTTACCTCGATGTTTGCGACCTCTTCTTTTACGATAACGTCTTCGCGCCATATAATAAGTTTTGAGAAAGAACAAATATAAATGTTTTTTTTTTTTTTTTTTTTTAAACTAAAAAGTCGTGCGTGCATAAAAAAATACAATTAAAACATGGTTAATTTAACCAAAACAAAAATGTTGTAAAAGGTGTTATGATGATTTAAATTTGAAAAAATAATATGTGTAATTTTCGTCTTCTCTTGTTCCAGTTTGAATCAGTTGTGCCGCATGTTGAAGGTATAGTGTTATGATACCTTTAAAATTGGTAACAAAATCAACGGTAATTTGTAACGAATTGTTTCTTTGAATAGTAGCCGGAGGTTTGTCGTTGACAAAATTGTAATCGCTAGTCGTGTCAATAGCTAAAGGTTCAGTTAAATTATGCGTTTGACTGAAATAATCATTAGGGTTTCTAATAAAACTGTCGTCGTCACTTGTATAAAAATCTGCATAATTATTAATATTAAGAGTAGAAGGTGTATTTCCTTTACACCAAGAAACATAACTACGATAACATAATTGTTGATCTTCTACTTTGTTTTCTAAATCAATTACATAAGTGTCACCTGAAGAATTGACAAAAGTTCTTCTGAAATTATGAAAAGTAATTTTTTTAATCATAGTGCAAGCCATTTCAACAGGTGTCATAGAAGTTTTGGTAAGATGATCGCTTTCTTTTTTTGATTGAACAGAAAACAAAACACAATGAGGTACCATGTCAGCTGTTTTTATATTTCCTAAGCTTATGGTAACGGTATCTGTACCTTCTACGTTAGTTATAACTTGTTCGCAATGAGCAAAACGAGCTATAGTATAAGGTTGTTCAGGGTAACTGTTTATGTATAAAGATTTTTCTAAAGGTAAACTGGCTATAACTCGGTAAGTATTGACCCAAATTGCAGGATTTCTAATTTCTAATCCAACATTAGCTAAAGATTCTATTTGAGCATCAGTTATAGGTCTTATACAGTGGCGGATTATCCATTAGGCTGAGTAGGCTGAAGCCTAGGGGCCCGTCAGCCATAGGGGCCCGGTTCGGAAGATGATTGCAATTTTTTTTTACAGCAAATATCGATATAGGTATGTATCATGGATAAATGAATGTATCAGAACCAAATGTTATTTTTAAACTAAAAAATCAATTTTGTAGCCCAGTTATGCTGCCCAAATGTTTGTTTTTACTCTGTCTTAGTCAAAATTTTGCTTTATCAGAACCAAATGTTATTTTTAAACTAAAAAATCAATTTTGTAGCCCAGTTATGCTGCCCAAATGTTTGTTTTTACTCTGTCTTCGTCAGGGTTAGGGTTAGGGTTAGGGTCAGGGTTTTGCTTTTTCAGATTCATAATTCAGATTCATAATTCAGATTCATAATTTTGCTTTATCAGAACCAAATGTTATTTTTAAACTAAAAAATCAATTTTGTAGCCCAGTTATGCTGAGAATGGTATTCTTGAACAAATTGATACTACTGACAGCATACATAATTGTAGATATTTTTTGGGATGCTTTATGCATATCGTTAATATAAATTAAGAACAATAATGGACCTAGGATTGAACCCTGAGGAACTCCACACGTAATATCGAGGGCCCCTGACTTTTCTAGTAATACAAGTTGCTTTCTGTTAGACAAATAGCTTTGAATCCACTTAAATGTTGAGCTTATTATACCGTAATATTTTAGTTATACCGTTATATATATATATAATAATGCAGTATCTACATTATACGTTTTTCGATTTCAGGTCATAATGGCATATCATCACAAGTCTGGGTATCAAAAAGCTAAAGACCGCGAAGATAAAAAGAAACGTGAGGAAGCGGTCATTTCAAAAACTGTTAAAATAACTGAGCTTTTTCCTACGATTAGTGTCAATGTCAATAGAGAAGACCCACCATCGAATTCACCTTTACCATGTGTTGGTCAGTGTGGTTTGCCTGGTTAATTTGGTCATGAATTTGAACGTGATAACAGTGTTGCAGCTGTATGCACTCAATCTATCTCTCACTCTGAATCTGATGATATGGTAGACGCGGAGACACTTTCTCAGAAACCAGAAGCACAAGCTGGTTCCAAAGATGATGACAATTCCTTTTCTACTGACATTGGGCAATGGTCTGAAGTGGAAACCAATGATACATTCTGTAACTTTGGGTAACTTGTGGCAGTGAATGTTGTCAACATTCAAATGCTGACTTCACTAGTTCAATGCAAATTGATGGAAAACAGAAGCGCTACTGCTCACAGAATCTCTTTTATCGTGTTCATTCTCGCAATGGTGAGAAAGTCCCAAGGTCATGGTTGTGTTATTCATCAGCAACATCTCGCATTTACTGCTTTGTATGTAAATTATTTTCTGCTGATGATATTTCATTCTCAAGGAATGGTTTTTGTGATTGGAAAAATGCAGCTTCACGAATACAGTCACATGAAAACAGCATTGCACATAGAAATGCAACAATCACATTCAGCCAAAGAGTACAAGTCAGAGGATGTGTAGATTCAGCAATAGTTGAGCAATACAGACAGGAATGTGCATATGCAAAATCTGTGCTAGAAAGAGTTGTCTCAGTTATCAAATTCCTTGCTGAAAGAGGGCTCGCATTTAGAGGACATTCTGAAATATTGGGGTCAAGTTCTAATGGCAATTTTTTGGGAATTTTGGAGTTGATTGCTAAGTTTGATCCATTCTTCTCCAGTCATATTGACAACCATGGTGGTAAGGGGAAAGGCTCTGTTTCATACCTGTCATCAACAATTTGTGATGAGTTAATTGATGGCATGGGAAAGCAAGTTATGAAAACAATATTGTCTGAAATACGTGGAGCAAAATTTTATTCGATTTCTGTTGACTCTACTCCAGACATATCTCATGTTGATAGGCTGTCATGTGTCTTTCGATATGTTTTGAACGATGGCCCTATAGAAAGGTTTGTGCAATTTTTAAGCATGAAAGGACATGGGGCAGAAGATTTGTTTAACAGTTTATACAGCTTTCTGGAAGAAGCAAAGTTGGATATAAAATTTTGCCGAGGTCAGTCCTACGATAATGCTAGCAATATGGCAGGAAAATATTCAGGGTTACAGGCACGCATTCGAGAGAAGAACCCATTGGCTGAATATGTGCCATGTTTTGCACACTCCCTTAATTTAGTCGGTGCATCAGCTGTAAACTGCGTGACAACAGTGAGTGGATTTTTTGATTTTGTACAAAACTTGTATGTCTTTTTAAATGCATCAACCCAACGGTGGGAGCTTCTAACCAAAGGATTGGATAGTAACCAGTAAGTTCTAGAACGCCTTTCTGATACTCGATGGTCCGCACATTCTGCAGCAACTAAAGCATTGAGCAAAGGCTTTAAAAATGTTAAGACAGTGTTAGAGAACATTGCTGAGGACCCCGACAAGAAGGTTGAAGCTCGCACTACAGCTGCAGGAAATGCAAAGAAGATGGATCAGTTAGAATATGGAATTTTATTAGAACTTTGGACACCCATATTAGATCGCTTTCATAAGACCAGTTTAAAACTGCAAAGTCCACAACTTGATCTAAATGAGGCTGTTTAACTGTTAACTTCACTAAAAGAATATGTAAATTCACTTCGAGCACAGTTTGATTTCTTTGAGAAGAAAGGAAAGGAAATAACAGGGTCAACTTCTTATAAAGAAGAGAATCAGAGGAAACGAAAGCGAAGTGTTCAATTAACCCGTCATGATGGATCAGCTGATGAAACAGTGTTTTCGGCACAGCAGAAATTTCGAGTCATAGTTTTCTTGCCAGTACTTGATCACTTGAATTCAGCATTGTGTAAACGATCAGAGGCATACAGTGGTGTATGTGATAAGTTTTTTTTCTGAGAAACATTCGATCACTGGAACAGTCTGATTTGCGAAGAGCCAGTAGAAACTTGATAGATACTTATGTAGATGATTTGGAAGAGTTATTTGAAGATGAAATACTTCACTTCAAAGAATATTTGTTAGCTGATACGTACTTGCAACAGAATGAGAAAGAACTGAAATGTAGCATAAAGCTGTATATGTATCGGGCTTTGAGAAACAGCAGTGCACTACAAGATATATTTCCAAATGTTGCCACAGCACTTCACATATACCTCAGTTTGATGATCACCAACTGCAGTGATGAAAGATCATTCTCTGCATTGAAACGGATAAAAAACTGCGAAGTGCTTTGGGTGATGATAAACTGAATTCCCTTACTGTTATGTGTACTGAATCTGACATCCTAAGAAGCTGTGACTTCAATGAAATTTTATCAGACTTTGTTGAACGAAAATGCAGAAAAATGAATTTTTGATCGTGTTGTTTTTTTCTTTGGGTCAGCCATTTTTAAAATATATACTAGTATCTAATATACCTGATAATTTGTTTGTAATTTTGAAATAAAATTAGAATTTATTATAGATATTATTATAAATAAAATTAAAATTGTACTTTTTGACGTATCTTTTAGAAAAATATAGGTATATAGGGCCCATGAATTAGTTAAGCCTATAGGCCCATAATTTGATAATCCGCCACTGGTCTTATATATTCTAAAAGTTGATTAGTATCTTGTTCAACAGTAAATTCAATTTTTAATTCTTTACCTTTCCCGTAATAACTTTTAATTTGAAAAAATTCACATAACAAAAATAAGGGTACTCTAAAACGATAACCTCTTTCTCCGTTCATTAAGGTGGTAGACCACTATTAAAATAAAATCTTTCAAAAATTATATTTAACAAATTATTTTTTTATAAGTTAATTAAAGTTCACATTTTAATCACAAATCTTTTTTTTTTTTTTTTTTTTTTAATTAATCGGTTTGAGAAATTCGGTCCCGGAAACCCCAAAATAGGGTCATTTCGTTGCGGTAAATATCTCAAAAACTATTCATGGTATCAACTTGAAATTTTTCAGACATACTTATAACATATTAAAGAAGATCCTGTACCAAAACAAAAAAAAAACATCGACCAGTTTTTTTTAAATAAGAAAAACACTCCAAAAACAAAAAAAGAGGCATTTTTGACCATATTAGGACTTAAATATCTTTTTATCTAATTATCATAATGCAATAAAAGAGGTAGGGGACATCTGTAATAACAATAGGAACAACTCCTAAAAATTTCATAGAAATTTGTTGAGAGAATAAAGAGATATTTACCGCAGAGTCGTGAATTTTAAAGAACTGAGAAAAACACATTTAAACAAAAAAAAACCATAAAATTCTTCAAATAAAAATAAAAAACACAGAAAAAAAGCCTACAAACAAATATTATTTTATTATAAAAGTGTTGTGGAGTAAAACTAAAGCAAAATTAAAACAAAATTTTTTGAAAAAAGTGATAGTATTATAAAACAATACTATTATCCAAGTAATACTTCAATTTGAAATAAAAAAATTCTTTTTATTTGCAATTAAGTTTCAATTTTTACTCTTACCAACTTAATGTAAATATCTGTTTGTAATAAATAAACAAAAAGTAAATATATATTAAAATTCTCCTGCACCATAACATAAACTCTCTTCTTCCTCATCTTTGTCCAAAAATCCTTTACGAATACTCCGTAACTGCTTTCGCCTGCTTTTTGTTTTTTTTTACATTTTTTTTTCATATTTTTAACTCTTTTCAAATCAGAAGATGCAAAAAAACTTGAAGAATAGTGTCCTGGTTTTAAATAAAGTTTTTCAAAAACTCTAATAATACCATTAATCCAGCCGATCCATTGTGATCAATCGAGCAAACATGATTGTCTTTAAACGCCATATATTTTGGTGAATCTTGGTGTGCATTCCATTACTCACAAGATTTGCACTTCTTAGAAAGTATGCGATAATCTATAGATTTTCCATTTGTTTTGCTTATTATAGTAATAAATCCATTTAGTGATGAGTATCCTCTCATTTGCCAAGCTCCGTCCCCTGAAATGTCATTATCAAATACTGTACAATCATTATAATTTTTTTTCAAAATAATTATTCTTACTTCTTCAGCATTCATGCTAGCTTCGGAATAAACAATCCGTTGCTAAGGAAAAATTTTAACCGCATTATTAAAAATTGGTTTTTAATAGGGTTAGCTTTAATTTTATATAAAACTAATTCGAAATTCCTAATCTACAATAATTATATTACTTAAAAACTTTAAAACTGAAAAAAGATTTTTTTGATTTTTAATAATGATCTACCACCTTAAAGCATTATAAGTGTCTTGTAGAAATGTTTGATATTCAGGTTTAACGGTACTATTCATTGCTCTGATGACTGCATTAGCATCGTTAGATTTCATAAGATCTTTTGTTTCATTATAAGTTGCGCTGTTAAGTGTTTTTTCTGTAAGCGCTAAATTATGGTAAAGCATATATTCTCTATATGCTTTCATATAACTCTTTTTAACAAACATTGTTTTAAATCGTTGGTACGCTCGATTATTAATAACGTTATTAGCTGGCATAGAGTTATTTTTTTGATAATTTGGATATGCTCTTATATTTTGGCATATATAAAAAATAAAACCTTCTTCTAAATAAAATAGTTCTAATAAATCAAGATCTGCGTGATTTGCCGTTGTAGCAAATGTTGTTTTTGTGTTTATGTTTTTAAATAAATGAACATCAAATTCATAAATATAATCTTCCGGTATTGTCCATTCGTTGAATTTCATAGTAAACGTAAATAAACTTTTCAATTCTGAAGTTAAATCAGGAGTAAATTTTTGATAATCGGTCTTAATGACTTTGTCTTGAGCTACAGCAGTCATAAAACCAGGATATTTTTCGTTTAATGCTGCTTTCATTTCTGCACTAATGTTACCGCTTGTCGCATCTTGCAAGAGATGATTTTCGTCTTCTGCTTTTTGTAAAACGTCATCAATGGTACGGGTCCGTTATGGTTAGGCGTATAACGGTTACCGTCTCCCGCTCTCATATATTTTGCTAAAGAACCCATCTTGATATAATTTTTTTTTCTTCTTTAAAAACAAAAAAAAAACAAGAATAAATTTTTTTTTTATAATAATTTTTTTTAATTCTATTTATTTATCTTCCGAGTCAGAAGTATTTTTTTTAAATGGTAATTTTTTGTTTTTAACGTCTTTTAAAGCTCGCGTGTAACCAAGTTCAATTAAACTTTTTTTATTCATTTTTTCTTTTTTGCTTTTTTTTTCAATGTTATTTTGCATAAAAGGACTGGATAAAATAGCTCTTTGTTGTATAATGCAGTTTCTGCACAAACCGTGAATAGCGTCTACAGCTTTAACTTCTTGAAAACATTGAGCGCAAACGTGTGAAGTAAACGTGACTTTAGTTTTTGATGGTTTTTTTTCAACATATTCTTCTTCAGAGCTTTCGCTTTCTTCTTCTGAATATTTTACTTTTTTACGTTTTGGTTTTTCAGTTTCGTTTTTTTTAATAACATTTTTTTTACGTTGAGGTTTTTCTTTGTAAGTGTCTTGCTCTTTTTGTTGTTGTTTTAATTTTTTTAATTGTTCGCATTTTTAATCCAATTCTGATTTGATATTAAGAACGTCAGCTTTAGTTGAAAAATGAGACATTTGATTTTGAAGATTATAAAATTTGTTTTGAATTTCATTGATTTGACTTTTTTGCGGATTTTTTAAAGAATCCGTTATTTTCTCGTTTATTAAATTTTTTTCATATCTTCCTCTTGCTCGAAAAAGAGACATTTTTTTTATAATTTATTTTTATTTTTTTAAAAAAAGACATCTTTTTATAACAAAATTTATATTAATCAAATTAAAATACTTTATTTTATACAAATGTAAAAGGTCAAGTTCTTTATTTTCATAACGTTAATTCTAGTTGTTTTGTTTTTTAAAGCAGTTCATTAGAAATCCTTATTATTTCTTCTTTTTGATTTTTAATCGTTTCTCTTAACTTGAACGTTTCGTATTGCATCGATTGTATTTGTGATTGAACATCCTCACTCATTTTTTCCATTTGTTTTTTACCTTGTAAAACTTTGTTTAATTACAACAAAGACAATTACAATTCAATCGATCCATTCCTTTTAACATTTTTTAAAAAACTAATTCTAAAATGGTACCATTTGTATTTTGAAAGTAGGATTAAAAAAAACAGTAGTACTTAAATTGTTAAATTTGAGCGGTTCTTTATTAGTGTTAAAAAAAGTCCATTTTGTTTTTTCCAATCTTCTACGTCAACAATATCAAACGTTGTCAATTGTCCTTGTATTTCTGTTTTTCGATTTTTAGTAAAATCGATATTGACTGTTACTTGAGTAGCGTTGTTATAATCTGCCA